ATTATAAATTATTATAAATTATTATAAATTATTATAAATTATTATAAATTATTATAAATTATTATAAATTATTATAAATTATTATAAATTATTATAAATTATTATAAATTATTATAAATTATTATAAAATTATTATATATTAATTTATATTATAATTTCAAATAATATAAATTTTAGAAAAACCTATTATTTAAATATATTTCCCCACCTGCCAGATAAGGATTATTAGATTTTATCTAAATTGCCTTCTCCTCCTCCTCCTCCTCTCCTCCTCCTTTCGTCGTCCTCCTCCTTTCGTTGTCCTCCTCCTTTCGTTGTCCTCCTCCTCTCGTTGTCCTCCTCGTCTCGTTGTCCTCCTCGTCTCGTTGTCCTCCTCGTCCTCCTGCTCAACTGCGACTCGCGACCCACAGTGTTCGCTGTCGGACCTCAACCACGACCCTCCACCCCCAGTGTTCCCTGCCGGACCTCAACCACGACCATCCACGCCCAGTGTTCCCTGCCGGACCTCAACCACGACCATCCACGCCCAATGTTCCCTGCCGGACCTCAACCACGGCCATCCACGCCCAGTGGTCCCTGCCCAGCTCAGTGTGCACCGCTGGACCTCAACGGCGAGATAGACTGCCAGAAAATATGCCAGATAGAATGCCAGATGGAATGCCAGAAGATATGCCAGATAGAATGCCAGAAAATATGCCAGATAGAATGCCAGATAATATATCAGAACATATGGCAGAAAATATGCCAGATAGAATGTCAGATAGAATACCAGAAGGTATGCCAGAAAAAATGCCATAAGATATACCAGATAGAGTGCCAGAGAATATACCAAATAGAATATTAGAAGATATGCCAAATAGAATGCCAGATAATATGTCAGAATATATGGCAGAAGATATGCCAGGTAGAATGCCAGAAGATATGCCAGATTGAATGCCAAAAGATTTGTCAGATAGAATGCCAAAAGATTTGCCAATAACAAATCGATAAATGTTATGGTGGGGATCATACAAAATAAAGTAATTATAATACTATAATAATATTAATTATATTATATTTATATAAAATATATATAACAAATTAATTATTTTTATTTTTTAAATTAAATTAATAAAATATTTTTTATTTTATTTTATTTATTAAAAATTAATTTGTTTAAATTACTTTATTTCGTGTAATTCCCACCATGACATTTATACATGTTTTTATTGGTATATCTTCTGGCATTCTATCTGATATATCTTCTGACATTCTATTTGGCATTCTATCTGGCATATCTTCTGGCATATTTTCTGGCATATTTTCTGGCATTCTATCTGGTAAATTTTCTGGCATTCTATCTAGCATATTTTCTGGCATTCTATCTAACATATCGTCTGGCATTCTATCTGG